GCTGTATCTTGGAAATCATACAAGAATTGTTGTGTTTCTGGCCACCAAATTAACACAAGTCCTATATTTACTCACTTTGAGCTCTGCCCACTCCTGAGGGTAGCTGCTAATTGCCTCTATATGTTTACCAGCTAGTTGCTAACTTTATCCATCTGGAGCTGGGCAGTGGTTTTTATTTATCAGAGCTTTTATTCTGGAAACAGCTGTTTGGTGCGGCCAAAAATGGCTTTATAAGAGCAGTAATACTGAACCAGAACAGTGAAGTTGTGAGCCTTAAAACCAAAGCAATGAGCGGACGGACGCTAAAGCTCCTTTGAGGTGAGGGGAAACACAGAGTCACCATGCAATGTATTTGTATCCATTATTATAATAAAAATATTGATTAGAGCTGCAGATGATGCACAATACAACTCAAAAAGTATTTTCACAACCCGCAAGCCATCTGTCATGCTTGACAAACCCCCCAACCTGTCCCCCGAGTGCTACAAGAAAGTTATCATGACTTATATTGATTAAATAAAACAAGTCTCAGCTCAAAAAACCTAAATATATTATTAATGTCTTTGTTTTGCAACTCTGTCAATGCTTTAGTGTAATTAATATCAATTATTAAAATAGCTCTAGCATACAAAAAGAAAAACAATAAACCTGAAAGAACTAATAAAAGTTATTTAAAGTTCAGCTCCTGCCTTCATAACGCATCTGATGAATTAATCCCATTGATTAATTATATTGAAAAATTGCATCATGGACAGTTTTGGCCTGAGGTTTGCATCGTGCGCGCAGGCCTCGGTCAGGACTTATTTCCTGTTTCTAATCTGAGCTAAACCTACTGCTGGATAACTCAGATAATCACACCTGAACGCCTCCAATCCCGCAGAACCAGGGATTCAAAGAACAACATGGAACCCAGGAGAGTTAATGGTACCATCCTCCTCCTACACTGCTAACACTGTTTTTCTTTCACTCCCTTCACTCTCCCGCCATCTCCATCTTTTTTTTCACAAATGAGGGAAGTGTGGCACGCACAGAGAGCGACGCATAAAGTTGGGGGTCTAATTTTGGCAGGCGAGACTTTTTCCCCTCACCCTGTGTTTATTCTGGCTCTATTAAAACATCTCCATGGAGGGGAGGAGAGGAAGGGAAGGGGGAATATGGAGGGAGGAGAATAAGCACAAAATAGAGGCGATACACTGATCTTTTTCTTATTTACCTAGAATTGTGGCATTCTGATGAACTTCGTATAAGAAAATAAACTGGTTTATAAATATGACACTTGGATTTGCGTCATAAAAAGGAGAACTTGAGACTTTGGTGAGAATTTAAAGGAACAGCTTATATAAAAGGAACAGCTAACGCCCCATAAAACCACAAAGTGCCATTTTTACAATTCTTTTTTTGTATGGATTCAACAAATGAGGTATAACGTGTTAAACTGCGATCTTAAGAGGTGTTTGTATAAATATTTAGCTACCTTTAGACTGAGCCAGGAAAGCATTTTTCTTTGTTTTTATCATGAGCTAAGCTAACCGGCTGCTGGTCTCAGCTACGTATATATATATTATTAGTAAATTATTTAAAAGGAAAAATCAACTGTGTCATTTTGACAGTCCAAGATCTGAAATATGCCAATGAAAACTTCTAACTTGGCTTAAGACTTGCTCTGAAATACTAACTTCAGACTTTAAGAACAGCTCTGGAACACACACACACACACACACACACACACACACACTGACATGTTACTTGTTAGATGCTTTTATCCAAAGCGACTTACATACTCAATACTGTGGGCAATCCCCACAGGAGCAATTTGGGGTGAAGTGTCTTGCCCAGGAACACAACGACATGCTAACTGCAGTGGGGTTTGAACCTGTGACCATCTGATCCCCATACCAAGGCTCTATCTACTGCGCCACACGCCTCCACACACACACACACACACACACACACACACACACGCACACACACCACAGAGTGTATACTTAAGCCCAGCGTAGAGGATGGAAATCAGACCGAAGCAAAGAAAACACAGGGGACATGAAGTTCATGTTATGTTCAGCTTCAACAAGGTGGGTGGCAAAAAATCCTCCCTCAAGTTTGTAAGTAATATTTGTGGCTAATTTGCCCCAAGAAAATGGAAGCCACTGAGCTCTCTGTTGAACACAGACAAAATGGGAGAGAGTGCAAGTTACAAAAGTATATTTCACTTGAACTGACAAGCTTTTGGACCAGATGTCTTTCCAAAAACTTCAGACCAGACGAGAAAGACCAGAAGTCGTGACGTTTGAACAGCTGCGGCATGAGGTAAGCGCTTGCAGGTCATCACATGTCATCATTATGTGACCTTGTCTTCTTGACGGCCTGCCACCTTACTTTACAGCTAATAAGTTTGCTGTGGCACTAATGATGAGCAGCAGCAATAATCAGCCCACCACCACCACCACCGCAGCTCGGCAGCTGTCAAAGGAGGCCCCTGTCCGTTTAAATGAAGTCTGTAATGACTGTAATGAGACTCACGGTTGCATGCTAGTCTTCAGCTCAACACTTCCCTTCACAAGGTTGCAGGGAAGAAAACACAAGGTGAACCTAATTTATTCCAACTTGCAAAGTGTAATGTAGCATATCGTGTGGGAAAGCTGTACCTCAATGAGTTGGAATCCTTGAGATGTTTAGATTATAGTAGTCCTAAAAATGTAATTCCCTCAGAAGGAAAATCAGACAAAGTATTTGCCTTGCATCATCATCATGTGGATTTTCATGGAACTAATTCCAATTAAAGAATATAACTGAAAAGTCTTTTTATAGCCTAGAAATTAATTTAACTAACATGCATCATGATCATTTGGCAAGAACAAAACCCTTAGTGGTTTCAAAAGAGTACTTTATAAAAGCATATACAGGCTTCAAAATATCCAGATGGATTTGCTTCTCTTTATCAGATTGCTGCAAAATCATTTTTCTGTTGTAAGAAATTTGATTAAAGAACCCTCATCAGGCCAGCCTCGCATTGTCATCCTCAAAAACTCTTGTAATTTAGCCAAAAACTCATTCTCCCATTTTCTTATCAATATTTGTTTCCATTTTAGTTTATTTCTGGTGTTGTCACAGTGTCCAAAAATCTAAAACATGTAAACATAGGAATGGAAGAAACAGATGTTTAAAACGGAGCATGAGTTTGTGCTCAAATGTGTGTGTAGTCGTCTCACTGTGAGAGTGGATTTAGTAAGTGTCTGATATCCACTATGTGCCAGCAGTTTTGATGGAACATGGCAGCAAGCCTTGCCATAATGTAATTTGGGAAAATCATCCAGCTCAACTCCTTTGATCCTGTGAGAATCAAACGAGCAGGGAAAGTTCGAAGTGTGTTCAACAGACTCAAAATATTTTTTTATTTGGGCAGGAGTTGCACTTTTGCCAAGAACATGATAATATTAAAGTGGAAAGCACTTATGGATAATTATTTAAAACATTTTGTATCGTTTGGTTTCATTTGCTACCCTCCTTAATTTGATGTGCATGTAAAGAGATTAGGACTCTGGTTGGTTTTACTGTACATTCAAACAGCTTGCAGCTAATTAGGCGACTATAAAAAGTTATATAGAAAAGAAACCACAAAGAGAGACAGATGTGCGTCATTTTTCTATACTGCTCATTTCAGGCCGCAATACTTTAGAGGGAGACTCTGACTTAAGTTTATCAACTTAGCTCAGTAGACAAAATACTTTCACTCTTAATTATAATAACTTCATTATTGCCCTGGAGGCAGATGAGTGTCACATGATTGCCCTAAAGAGAAATGAATTAAAAATGTTTACATTTTAAATTATATCATATTTACTGATTAGTCTTCTAAAAATCAAATAACACAGCCTAACCCAAGTGAGCTAGTTTATCGAATACCACAAGCAGTATAGAAACGAAGGAGGGGCAGAAGGCAAAAACACCCAAAGAAATAATACAAATAAATACATACTTGTCTTACATGTGTGTGTTGGCACTAGGTGTTTACTCTATGCTTATGGGATTCATTTACATTTAAAACAGCAAATGTATGCACAAATGACTATTTTTCAAGTCCCCCAAAAATGCCCAGTTTTTTTTCTCAAACAGAGTTGGTAAAGGTTACCTCCAAACTATTTGTTTTCATCTACTACACTGACCTGTGTCAGTGTGTTTCGGATGTCAACATCTGCTTTGTTCTGCTCCCGCCCAACAGTCCTCATGGTCCACATACCGACTGTGGCCCACGGCTAAGTGTGCGCAGTCCACATTCAAATGTGAACCATGTGAGCTGAGATGGTTAGGGGCGGAAACAGCAGCATACAACATCAGGCATTTGGGATTTAAAAGGCGCATATTAAATATTCATTTAGCCACACTGAGATCTACACCAATAAAATTGAAAATTACAGACCAAGCAGTGTTATAATGTCAGTGAGTCCTCAATAAAAAAGTCCTTCTGAGTACTTTTAGGCTGGCTCTATACATCAAAGGAGGCCATGCATTGCCATGAGAAGTACAAGATAGAAACACGATGCAGCATTTTCCTCGTTTCAGACAGTATGTCAGCAAACAGTGGGAATGTTGGTGTACGCTCCTTAATGAATTCACTGAACTGCAACTTTGTCTTTAGTTTATCTATAAAGTCATGACCTTCAAATTCTCTGTAATTAAATTTGTTTCCATTATGGACATTATCGGAAAACAGGCCCACACATGATTATCAGAACAGATAGCAAACCAAATTTAGTTTAGGTCTTCTTCTGCCTTTATGTGGTCCAGGACCACCTATAACAACATTTGCAAACTTCAAGCTCAGATTTTGACACCCATCAAGAATAAAACATAGTTGCAAGCCATGAATAAGTATGCAAATTGTCAAATGTATGCATTTGCAATGTGCATTTATAAGATTATAGTACTCTAAGAACAGCATGAATAGAGTGCCAGAGAGAAGATAGAGAACTAAAAGACGGATAGGAAAAAGATAAACTTACGTTGGCCTTCCTGGCAGGAGAGTAGGGAGTGGATCTGGAAAAGGAGACAAGGGGATTTTTTTACAAGAGGATAAACAATATTGCTCCCAGATTTTTCTCTGCACAAGCTGCCAGCTACAAGCAAGAATAAGTTGAGAGGAGTGTTACTCAAAGGAGCCAGATCTCTAAAAGGAAAAGATGAGTAGGAAAACATTTCTTGTTTGTCACAGTAAGGGTGTACAACCTGATTGTGAGATCTGCCTGCCAACAAGCTTGTAAATGCTTGGCAGAAACTGGTCTCTGCTCTTACCAAATTTAACAAAGAGCACGCCTGTCGTGGACACGGTCCCCTGTGTGTTGGTGGCCATGCACTGGAAGTAGCCCGTGTCAGTAGTGTCCAGGTTGCGAATGCGGAGGCGTGATCCGTACGGCGTGGATCGATACGAGATCCGTCGAGGCTCCTGCACCACCGGGGCATCGTTCTTCAGCCAGCGCACGACGGGCGGTGGGTTGCCGGACACACGGCAGAAAAGCTCGGCTGTGTGGCCCAGAGAGGTGGTGATGTTGTTCATGGGAGCTTCAAGGCGGATGAAGAAGGACCCTGGAAGACAGAGGAGAAAGGTATTGAAAGAGAAAAATAAGAAAAATAATATATAAGAGTCAAAAAAGGATAGGGAGATATTGTACAAGGCACTGTAGAAGGCCAAGACCTAACTAGAGAATGCAATTCTTGATGAAATTGCTAGTGGGAATGCTTTATGCTGATGCTGAACTGCTATGCTGAAATGTAATGTGTAAGAAGAAAGTGAAGAATTTAGATTGAAATGATACATGAACACTGGGGGTTTGAATGTGTGATAAGAGAAGAAAAGAAAGTAAAAAGGCATGGAAAAGCAGCAGAATATTTTAACTGCAAACTTTTGAACTAACTTGATGGCGAGTGATCTGTCGCCATAGCAACGGCATTTGATGACACACCATAATATGCTTAAATGTGTGGATGGCTGCATCTTTACCAAACCTGTGAAGGTTTGGGCCGAAGTTATGAGAAAACCGTGTTTCATGGCGAGCCTTGTGTTACCATGGCAACGGCATTTGAAGAAATCTCAAAACTGTCACGTATACATGTCGTCACGGCTGGACTGTTAGCACACGTGAAGTTTCAGCATTTTTTGACGATTTTCATAGGAGTTATAGCAATATCATGTTTTACGGCGAGGGATGCGTTGCCATGGCAACAGCTTTTGAGGAAAACTCACAAATGGCACATAGACATGTTGAAGGCTGGACCATTATTCATCATCTGAAGTCTGGTGCTGTTTTGACAATTTTCATATGAGTTACGACAACATCGTGTTTTATGGCAAGGGATGTGTTTCCATGGAAACGGCATATGATGACACCCCGTAATTGACAGAGCTGTTGAAGGCCGGACCATTAACCATTATCTGAAGTCTGGTGCTGTTTTAGACCATTTGCATAGGTATCACGACAACATCGTGTTTTATGGCGAGGGATGGCATATGGTGAGATCTCAGATTTGGTGTAGAGCTGTTGAGGCATGGACCGGTGATATTGGGTAAGATTGGGGGACGATTGGACCGTGTCCATTGGAGTTACAGCGACATCGTGTTTTATGGCGAGGGATGCATTGCCATGGCAACAGCTTTTGAGGAAAACTCACTATTTGCACATAGACATGTTGAGGGCAGGACCATTAACCATTATCTGAAGTCTGGTGGTGTTTTGTCCATTTGCATAGGAGTTACGACAACATCGTGTTTTTTGGCGAGGGATGCGTTTCCATGGGAACAGCCTATGTTGAGATCTCAGATTTGGCGTAGAGCTGTTGAGGCATGGACCAGTGATATACAAGCGAATTTTGGGGGACGATCGGACCGTGTCCATTGGAGTTACAGCGACATCGTGTTTTATGGCGAGGGATGCGTTTCCATGGAAACGGCATATGATGACACCCCATAATTGACATAGAGCTGTTGAGGGCCGGACCATTAACCATTGTCTGAAGTCTGGTGCTGTTTTAGACCATTTGCATAGGTATCACGACAACATCGTGTTTTATGGCGAGGGATGTGTTTCCATGGAAACGGCATATGGTGAGATCTCAGATTTGGCGTATAGAGCTGTTGAGGCATGGACCGGTGATATACAAGTGAAGATTGGGGGACGATTGGACCGTGTCCATTGGAGTTACAGCGACATCGTGTTTTATGGCGAGGGATGCGTTGCCATAGTAACACCACATTACGTAACATCAGATTTGATGTAGAGCTGTTCAGGGCTTTAGTGTTAACCATCATGTGATGTTTGGTGGCGTTCTGAGTCTGTCAGTTGGAGTTATGACATCATGTCATATCTCCAACACACAGGTGTTTATGTTTGAGCTAACGACGTTATGAAACACTTGTGCTTGAGCCCAGAGATCAAAGGTTTCCATGGTGATCAGTGAGAGGGGAGCCTTTCCATTGATCTGAATGAGAGATAAACCTCATTTTGTTGAAGAACCGTAACAGATATCGGTGAAATTTCAACGCGTGAAGCATCTCAAGGACCCTGAGCGTCTGAAGTGTGCTTTGTGTACGTTCGGGTCAATGTGGCCTTTTTGGCAGATTAACTTAAGGTTAACGCTGAATTTACAATGGGCCTTAATGGAGACATGTTGAAAGTTTTTGTCACTTCATGCCCTCAAGAGGCATTTTGTTTAATTTTTTTGCTTAATTTATTTTTAATTTTTCAAGCTAAGAGATGTTTTCCTACGTTTTCCATGAAAAATGATGTCCAAGGAGTGTAGGGTTTGGGAATTATGGCAGGTTTTAAAAAAAAATATGAAGGCGAATTTCAAGCTCTCCTCCACTCTAGCTGTGACATCACGCACTCTAAGCCTTAACGAGCTGCGCAATACACACTAATGTTAAAATCTGAAGAAGGCCTCTTTACCAAGGTCTGAACAATGTTTAATATTTCTAAAAGTATGAATCTGATTTAAAAGTTGTGTAATAAGAATAATGTCAGAAAGATGTGTAACATTTTAAAGTTGGAATGAGGTTTCTGAGTGAAAGTATGAAGGAACAGTTAGCAGTTGAAGTCGCATGAAGATTTTTCAAGTCTGAAGAGTTTCTCCATTGACTTCTTCATTTTGACTTCCATGTTAAAAATGTGATGAATTATGGGATATATCTCTGGAATTATGAAAGTTAAGAATGTGAAAAGTAATAGCCATCGATTCCCGATCGAGCTGAACGTTTTGATGTTTCTGCGATGTGGAATGTGGGAGCAGAAGAGGGACAAAATAACCCGGCGGCATAATAATAATAAAGAATTTGTCCGTAGAGTAGTAGTTGGAATGCTGTATCAGCATTCCCACTAAATTACATCAACCAAACAACACTTACTGCAATCAAATAGTCAGATATTTAAAATTACAACATACTGGCAAAACAACTCAGCACCTATTTAAAGCCTGATTTTGCATGTTATGATGCAGTTGGACACCTGATTTCACTTTTCATTATGGCTTATCCTGCAAAAGTGTTCTTCCCGACTTTTGAGAAGATAAGTACAAATAACCTTGAGGAGTGAACATGAGGCTGTCAGAACTCAGTGTTTTGAGTAAAGATGGTGTTGGACAAGACAAATCAAAACAGCCTTGTATGTTTATCTACAAAATCAGATTTTTCCTGAAGGTGGTCAGGAAAAAACAATCTTGGAGGGCCACCTAAGAGTTTAATGTGCTGGAAAAACATTGGTGTTAATGTCTTAAAAAAACTTCTGGAAAGTTCCCTCAACCCCAAAACCCATCTTAGGTATGCATAAATGCTCTTGGTTACACACTCAGCCAAAACAAACAAAGGAGGAAAACACATTCTGGGGAATCTCAAATACTAGTCTGAAAAATTCAATCTGTGTGAATGGAGAGGCTGAGAAGAGGCACACACTTGTATAGGCAAGGATACCCATGCATATCAATGTTTAATAACCCGTGAAAATTCATTAGTCAGGGCATTTATGTAATAGCCAACACCACTTGTTTTCCACAAATGAAAATATATAACATCCGGATTTATTTATTTTTTCAAGAAATCTGTTTTGTCTCGAAGTTGGAGGTCGAGATTAGTTGGAAGATTAACAATTTAGTCTACCAAAAACATTTCAGAAGCCAGGTCGCCAACAAGAGTTTTCACTACAAGGGTAACACAGTCTTTTGTGTATTTGCTCCATGTCTTGCTCTCGATTTTAAAGGCCACATGTCTTGGCCATTTCTACTGATCATAATTCCATTGTTGAGGTCTACTAGAATAGATTTACATTGTTCAATGTTCCAAAATCACATTGGTTTCTCATACAGCATCTCTGTATAGTATGTGTATTCACTCTCTGTCACGCCTTGTTGGAGCTCCTGCCCCCCCCCCCCCCTATGAGCCCACTGTGCTCTGATTGGTCAGCTCACCCACTCGGTTCTGATTAGTCAACCACCGTTGCATCAGTAACATCAGTGTTTATGTGTTTATCTGTTATGCGTTTGTTAGCAACCAGAAAATGACACCAGTAATGACAAACAGATGAGAATGCTGCGTAGGGTCTGGGTGCCGTGTTGGCGGGACGTTGCGGCGCTCGCTGCTCCGCCCTTTGAGGCTCGAGGAGCGGACAGTGTGAGCTGGATTACTGGTGTCGTTTCCTGGTTGCTGTGTGGGGTCTGAGTGAGTGTGTGTGTGTGCGGAGCTTCGCGGATTGGTCCATTTTGAACAATTGGTCCATTTGGATGTAGTGACGTCAATATGCCCCGGAAGAAAAAAATGGAAAAAGAAAAATATACAACGAGGCGTTCTGGGGCAGCATAGACACGTCTTTTCTGTGTCAGAGTTTTACTCGCTACAGGGTGTACTTTGAGGGTTTGTGACTTGGCAGACCGTTTACATGCAGAAAAAGCTACATAACACACAAGGGGACGGGTAATAACCAGAAAAGCATATGATGGGACCTTTAATATACCGGTTTATTTTTTGTTAATTATTAAGGTGTACATGATGTAAACCTATACAAACTGTAAATGGAGAAGCAGTCATAGTGTTGCACTCTTTTGAAGAAATAGAGTCTGCATAGTGTCTGATTGTCAGTTTAGGAGAACTACAAAAAAAAACTTGAAACAGCCCCCTAATATCAAGTGGAATAGAAATTGGGTGGAGAGCATTACAGACCGAGTTCACCATCTAACAATCTGGTACTCTTTGTCACCATAGCAACCCTTGTGGTTATTATTTACATCTGACGCCTGCGGCTATCAAATTGTCATGAGGTGTGAAAAACAAGTGCCTACAATGTGTATGTGAAAAAGAGAAGTGGGCAGATTTGTCTTGGCAAACTGTGTGTGTGTGTGTGTGTGTGTGTGTGTGTGTGTGTGTGTGTGTGTGTGTGTGTGTGTGTGTGTGTGTGTGTGTGTGTGTGTGTGTGTGTGTGTGTGTGTGTGTGTGTGTGTGTGTGTGTGTGTGTGTGTGTGTGTGTGTGTGTGTGTGTCTGTACAAGAGTGCACAACACACACACTCACGTTTTCTTCCCTAAAGCCCCAGGCTTAACAGAGCAATGTGGTACTAACAAGTGTGTGACAATATGAGGAAACTCCCACCATGGACTGTATTACCAGTACTCTCCTCTCTTCTCACCCACTTTTTATCTGTCCTCCTTTCTTACACAACGGTCTCCCTTATTTATACAGCCCTTTCTTTCCACAATACAGCACAGCAGTCAGAAAAGATTCTTCAGCATAGTGCTGATAATGTATCGTTGTTTTATCCAATTGAGCACATTGCGAAAGATGAGATATTTAATTATAGAGGTTTTTTTAGTATCAAAAGAAAACTGCACTTTAAAATGTGTTTTATTTAAAAAGAAAATCATATTTAAAGTCAAGTTATTTTACAAAAATTGTTTTACTTTACAGAAAGCAACAGAAAGGCAGAACTGAGTACCCTTTTAAAATGTATTTGTATTATTATAAATAATATCATATTTCAAGAATAAATATTATTGCATGTGGAGTCCCCCTCCAAAAATTAAATGTGAGGTTATTAGTTTTATTATTACTTTTTTTAATAACACTTTGACCTCATAGAGACATATCGATAAGTAACTCTGCAAAGTGCGAATATCTGACAGCCATACACACACACACCTAAAAAAGACGTAATACACTCACACAGGCTCCTGTGTACTCTGTTCGTTAACAAGCCTTTAAATCGATTATCATGGCAACATCTGATAATAAACTGCAGTGGATAGTGTAATAGGTTGTAACTAATTGATAGGTCAAACTCTGACATGATTATACATTAAGAAGCATGTTCTAACAGAAGGGGGGTGCAAAAACAGGAATAAAATGTTCAATATGTATGAGTTTCAATCTAATCTGTTGTCTAATCGCATTACCATTTGTAATCACTTTAAATGTCATGAGGCAAATGGACTGTTTGAGTACTGTAGTGGAAAACATGACTGTTCTGTCAACGTCCTTCTGTATCAAGATGCATTAGGTCAGTTTCATTAAGTAACAATATTTTCTCATTAAACTCTATTCTGCTGTGTTGTTTACACTGCAATTTGTCACATTAGCCAACTCCTCACAAAAGTAAACTGTGACATTTCCAAAAGCTGTAAATGTGCCATGACTTTACTTGTGAAACAGTTTCTCATTAGTGTTTATTGACTAGTCCAGAATGTAAACATTTCCAGGAATCCAGGTGTCCAGGCTTGATAATGCATTTTGAGTCCTCTGATTAGTGTTATTGGTAGGGCAAATGACCTTCAACTGTAATGAAGCATTCATAGTAACAGCAAAGATTTGCTAGCTAGGAGGTGATTATCATAGTTATATATAATATTTTTTCCTGATGTGCGAGTGGATTCAGCTTTCTGTCATGCCAATAAATCAATTTATTTTCCTGCTATGATTTTAAATTCTCTCTGCATTATTTAACAAGTAATTTATATTTGTGTATATATATACATATACTGTATATCCCAACACTTAGAGGTACATGATTTTGAATCAAATGTTGCAACCCTCCCAATAGTGTCCGGTCTTAACCCCTGTTAATAACACACTTACCCACTCACAATATGACACCTATTCATATTTTGTAAATACACACACTGGTGGAACCAGAGGTCATTGCTTTTGGCGATACATTTGTCTTAATGAGGGTACATGACAGTGTGTGTGTGTGTGTGTGTGTGTATGCCTACTTCTTTGTATGGGTGTGTTTTCTTTTTAATTCGACTTCCCAACTATCAACAGTCATGTGGGGTCTGCAGGAAATCTGTGCTCACACTGTTCTAGTGGACCAAGTTTAGTGGACCGTATCACCTTCATTGATTTTCTGTTCCTCAATGACTTAATGTGCCTGTTGAGTGCAGCTATATTATTTAAAAATAAAAAAATACTTCATATATTAAATGAGAACAGACCCACTGAGTCACAACTGAGTCACTTTATCACTGTCATTAGTTGAGTTGATGGAAAAGAAAATGGTCTTTGGGGCTGTTTGCCTGCACACTTCATTAGCTGTTATAATAACTGACCATTAAGCAGCGGGGAACAGAATCAATGAAAGCGGAGAGGAGACGACAAGAGGAGATGATGGGAAGAGAGGTGAAAAAGAGAAAGATGTCCTGCCAGTGTCTGTACAACAAAGCCGCTCTGTATGTAATTGTCTCGTGGTGAGTGTTGTGGTATTTGGCACCAGGAGTACTGTGAAACTCAAACCGTTGCTGCGGACTGTCCCTTTAATGTGGCAGGCGACTAAATGGTGCCCTGTCATCAACCTGCATTTACTTGCAGTGGTTTTGTACAATCAAACACTGACACGCAGGCACACAAACGTAAACACACACCCCCACAACCGCAACGGACACAAACTATACATGTTCCAAACTAGGAAAGTTACACAATACCTTTTCATCTCATCACAGACGTTGGATTTCTATATGTGGATGTAGTGTAGAAGGCAGAGCCGTGCGAGGCATTCTGTTCTCAGCAAGACAAGGAAACCTGAGTGGCTGCACAGCTAACTAAACACACTGTAGATACACTGAGGAGCTGGGACTGTAACATTGCCAGCTAAGGTTAAAGGTACATTTCATTAAAATGTAGGACACTCTTCAACAGAGAAGAAGAGGATGAGGAAAGGAAGAAAAACAGACTAAATAAAACAAAGAAGGGAAGAATGAACGAAAGCCTGAGGGAAAATGAGTTTACTAAACTATCATCACCCCTGATTTCAGCCGAATAATGAGCCTCTTTCAGCATGATAACTTCCTGCTACTGATGCATGCCGATAGAGCCACGCTACCTGAATGCTGTCTACTCGGTCAATCAAAACCATTCCCTGCCTGCAGACAAAACAAGTGGCGCAATCACAATCCATCCATCAGATAAGAAACAGATGTTAGACACAGGGCTGATCTCACACACACAGATGCACTACTATGCGCGAACACACACGTGTAGCCTTTGTAGGTTTTTATATTTCCTATTGTATTGGAAAAATAAAGCTGTCTATGATTTGTTTGGAACTACTCCTCATTGTATTTATGACTTTTTTAAACATCCTTGATTGGTCTCCATAATCATTTTTTCATGACTAAACGGCTCAATCATGTGCAGAAACTACCGTCTTTTTTTTGCCTGTGTTTAACAATGTCTGTTATTGTGTACACATAATCTGCTGTGGGGACGGATGTTGTGGGAGATTTGCCTTTGCAAGAGTTGAGCTAAACAAACCAGACAAAATGAGAGAGCTAAAATAAAGGTCAAGTTCAATAGAGTCTCAGGTTGAGATACTTCCAAGTCAGGATAACTTCGTGGGAGATTAGGCGGATGTTGGCGCTTCAAGCCCCGGGGAAACTGAGGAGAGAGGGCGAGATTTGACTGATAACTCGGTGCAAGAAGAAGTTTAGTTAAGAATTTATCCAGAAAAACTTTAGGATCTGAATCCTGCATTGCTGACAGGAGAACAGCAGCTTTTAAAGCTTCCTCTGTCAGGATGTGCTGATCTAAACCTGGGCAGCTCCAAGAGTCGTATCCATCCAAAATAAATAATTTGACCAAACTGGAGCAGAGTGTAAAAGGATTTAGTGAGCACCAGCACATATTAAGCTCCACTTTTAGATGTTGCTTAAAGTAGGTCAGTGGAAATTAGGGAAAGGCAGTGCACCTGTGGCTGTATGTACATGTTGAGTGGATCAATGTGAAATTCCTTCCATCAATTATCCTCAACAGTGGCTCACGCTGGAACAAGGGTCGTTCTCTGGGTTGCAAAAGGTGACCATTCTGAAAGGATGTGTATTTTTTCAGACAGCACATGTGGGATAACAGTTTGACGCACGTGTTAATTGCCATGTGAGCAGACTGTATCATCATGTTTAGCGGATGTTTTAGTATTCCAGTTTTTCTCTAAAGATGTTTGTGAAGAACGTGTTGAAATGGAGACCTGCTTTGTGTGTTTGCGTTTGTTTATGTGTGACTTTACCATCCGAGATGTTCCATGAAGAGGTAGCTATCACACTGGGGTCCTGGGGAAACTCAGACCCTGTAAAAAGTAAAAGAAAAAGACTATTAGTATGTTTCTGGTTGTTTGGCTCTATCAATTCCTGTTCATGAACCATGCATTAAGAACACATGTCAAATAAAAAGATAAACATCTATGGGGTGGCTACTGCTGCTGTAGGTGTGTTATTGATTAAATAAACAATCCCAACATTGCTGGCCCTTTTTTAATATAAAAGACTGTAAACAGACAGTTCTTAAAAAGTTTTTCCCATCTAAAATATGGTGATTGCATTGTACATTGCTGGTGCAGATGAAAGGTTTGAATGTATAACAGGCAGCCCAACAGAGAGCCACGTGGACTTAATGCTGCATTATTAGCAGCTGACGACAGAGCAGCCCTCTGCTTTTCATTAACGGAGAGAGGAGACTGAAAATGGGCTCCAGTGTGCACTGCCACAGGTCACAAGGTGAGTCCTCACAAATGAAAAAGCCTGCGAGACTTAAACATGCGGGACTGACATGGATGGGACCAGAAACAGTTTTATCTTTCCAGATTCTTTGGACTCCAGACGGATACGTTTGTATACAGTATGTGTAACTTGGTGCCAGTTTAACATCCAAAAACGCCAGAATTTGCAATGATAAAAGTGTGTACAAATGTATCAGTGAACCTTCCATGAACATACCTTACTCACATGAAGTTCAGCAACACATCATAAATATTTGTATAAGACCATTTATCCACAAATGTATGAGCTGAAAACACTATTGTAACATGTGTGGTATGCAGGGTGACAGTTGGGGAGAGAGTGTGTAGTGAATCGGGACCAGGCGTCTGACATGGGGTTAATTGGGTGATAATGTGTTGTTTCACACATGCTGTTTCAGAATGGTAATGACTGTGTGGTGGTGCTTGTGAAACGAGCTATCTTAATAAGCAGCTCTTTGGGCCTCTGCACCTGTTAGCGAGGGAGTCTGGAGGATCGGCAACCGGCTCACAACAACAGGGGGGCAACTTTATGAGGGTCAAGATTCAAGGCTTTTATTGTCATTTGTACATAGCTACAGTGTAGTTATGACAATTACATTTTTAGGTCACAGGCTCCTCCAACATTGCAACACAATAAAATAGATAATAGTGCAGATATGCAGATATCTACAATAAAAAGTGCTCCTTATGTTATCTCGTCATTAAACTGAAAATCAATACCTAACAATCTCTTATTCTTATGAAAAAAATGTAGTTTACAAAGTTGTTTCTCAAGGAATGAAAATCATTCTCTGGTTTGTTCCTGGAGGCGCCTAAGATGACAGTGTGTGTATTATATCGAGACTTGGCCCCAAGGTGAGTCTAAATTCTCTCCGTGTTCTGGGTTGCTGGCTTAAGGAAACACAGAGCTCTGTGGTTTACAAAGGACAGAGGAGAGGGGACGTTGCAGCTCACAAGCTTCACTAACAAAAAGCTAGCCAAGTGAAGCCAGGTGAGAGTTCAATAGAGGGGCTGGACATGGGAATAAGGGAGGGGGAATAAGGGGGGGGAGAAGAAAAACTATGTCGTTTCTAATAACAGAATTTTGTCACTGATTTGTTTTAGTACATCATTTTTTACAGGAAAATGTTTGTCGCATATGATTTTTAACTTTGGCAAGGCATTTATTTTCATGGGTGGCTTGTTTTTTTGTCTGTTTGTCAGCATGTTTCAGACAAACTACCTGCCCAATTGTGATGAAACTTGTTGGAAGGATGTAGTAGGGCTGTGCAATTAATCGTATTTTAATCGCAATTACGATTTTGGCCTGCCACAATTACGAAAACAACATAATCGAAAAAAACAATTATTTTGCTTTGCTAGGTTGTGACAGTGCACTGCAACATATTTGATCTAATTAATTTTGGTCTCATTTATTTGTATTTATCATATTTATATATGTTTAGTAGCTTGGGGAAGTGCGCTCCAAAATATTTGTTGATCTTGTTTATTGGTATTTATTATTTTGATATTATTTATTTAAATGTATCATTTATTTTAGTATTGGTTTTTCAGTTGAATTATACGTTCAGGGTAATCAACAGTTAAAAAGATACTGTTCAAATTATTATTTGTATTTGTTTTAAAGTTCAATAAATGGATTTTTTCAAAGTCAATGAATAATCGTGATATCAATTATTGACCCAAATAATCGTGATTATGATTTTTGCCATAATCGCACAGCCCTAGGATGTAGTATGGGCTGAGGAAGAACCTGTTAAATGTTTGGAGCTGATCTGTATTTTTGCTCATTGAAACACCTTGGCAGCAGTCTACACTCTTCAAGTGCCCTTATGTTTATTTATATAAAACCTTTCCAGATAAGTTAGTTCTCTAACTGGACAAGAGGTAATGAACTCATTTATTCCTTTTCTCTCTTTTCCACCATTTAGGTCACATCTGTTAGTTCTCTTTTATTGAAGCATTCATTTGTAATATCTGGGATGAACTGCAGAGTCATTTTAAGATTAGCTTTCTAATGTTTCTCAGTAACAGAGGGGAGCAATTGTGTAAGCCAATTTGTAATGAGGGCCTAAAAATAGGCACCTTCACAGTGCCTGTGTCAGTTCAAATCAATGCTTCTTGCAGTTGTGGCTCTGGCCCCCTGATTGGATCATGATTCTTAATCTTATTATCTACCAAATGTCAAATGGAGCTGTGCTTTATATAAAGTATACTGTTCTGTCAATATGAATCAATGAAAGGGATCAAAGGTTTGGATCACAGTACAACGAAGGAAGAACTTACTTTGAATGTTATTAGGTCTGAGCTGTAATACTCTCTGATACTTTCACAAAGTGTCAGACAAAGAGTCCTTAACTTGGCCAAAACCGTAACAGTAATATTGTTTTTTTTAATAAACAGCCAAACCCAGCTATTTTGTAGGAGGGTATGAAAACCCCGTATATATATTTGATCAAAACATGCATTGGTTGAAGTCTGGTTCGTGCCTTCTCTCCAGCCAAGAGCTAAGCTAACTTTTAGCAGCTTGTCTACCATTTCAAATCACTTGCATTTTTACAGCCACAAGTTATCTTCCTAGAACATTAGTGCACTGATACCATCTCTGCCTATAGATTTTTATTAAAATGGGGATTATCTCTACCGTTAAAAACCGAAATGTAACCGTACTTTCCAAAGAATAGCAATATAACTTGGATCAAAGAGCCTTCCACATGTTTTCATAGCATGCCAGTAGCTATATGTTACATGGATACTATGGATGTTTGACATCCTGTAATATAGTATCCCTTTCCCCTCTTGGCTGGTATTCCTTTTTAAACACAACTGAACGTTGTATTACATTCTCTTTTATTTGTAGCTGTGTGCCACTAAATTATCATGCTAGTGGCAACATATAAAGTAAATGGTTAACATGAAGGTGCCTTTAAGATCTCCAGACTATCAATCTCTACACAAAAAGTTCCATGAGATCAGCCTCTGATCGTCATCCAGCTGTATTTGGCTTTGGATAAAAATCACACAGAGACATGAGACCCACCCCCATTAAGCTCTGAGAATTTGGTGAGACTTTAGTGTGACAGCAGCATATTGGAATTAGTGCTGAACTTCAAACTCATGGGAATGGGAATGAGTGAGAGTGCTGAAGTTAAATTAAGGAGAAAAAGGGAGCCTCAGAGGGTAAAGCTGAACCAAATCAGAAATGTTCAATTTGAGGAGTTATGCATTGCAAATATGCTGTTATATGGTCTGGGGGCTGTGTTTGGAGCCATGGTGGTTGGTGTGGTGAGTGAGACTGATGTATGAGCTCTCCCGCTCTGTTATTAGAGCCTTTCCCAAGGACCTCTCCATCCCTATTAGCTGGAAAACTGACCGAACTCAGGGGTTATTTGGAAGACCAGCAAACCCACCACTTTGAGAATATAGCTACGCCATGCTCCTGTTTTAAAGAGGTGAAATAAAAAGATATGCGTAGATGAGGAAAATCTAGGAATCATAATCGTTCCGCCTCATTTCCATTGAGAAAGTTTCTTCTTCTTTTATTGTGTTCTAACTTTCTTTGTCTTTTCATTTTTTAGATTTAGGTGCTACTACTGAAAAAATATCTCCTGCTTTAACAAAAGGAAGTTGTTGAAGAATATATGTGTAAACAGCTCTTCCTCATCACACCCAACTATGGAATTACATGCAATGAAAAGAGTGATGTCCTGCTGGTCATCCAGAACTAGACTCAACACCATAAAGGGCTTAACCTGCCTTAATGAATTATTGGCCCAATTAGGTTCAAGATAGAAAAAACAAGTGGAAAGCTTCAGACTTGGCAAAAGAACAGGGATTTAAGAAAATATTTGATGTTAAAAAAAGTGATGGAGGAAGCAAGTGTGGGAGGACTTTGAGATAAATGGAGTGAAGAAGACTTGGAAAATGTGAGAGTGCAGAAAAAAAAACAGCAAGAGAGGAAAAAAGTGACTTCATAATAAACGCAGAGTGAAGGAGCTCATAAAATCTGCTTTTTAAGAAGTAGGTTTCCGTCCCAGCAGCCAGAGTGCAGGCTTGAGTTGGCTCGAGAGTTTATTTATTGTGTCAGATTTAAAAAACTTTAACAGTGATCAAACACAAGCATCATAGTCAAGGGACTGATGGCCAGCCACAGGGAAGGAGGAGACAGACACATAAAAGTAGGTAATTCTAGTGTCCGAATTCCAGTTTATTACTATTTGGGTTGGATTTTGTGTAGTTTGAGCCATATCTTAAAGCTCTGGCAATATTGTACTTGGCAATTTAAATGCTGAGATCTGGGAACCAGGCACAGGCGTTACAACTAAATCTGCTGGTTCAAGAAATGCAACTTATAGGATTTGACATGCTCTTCACAATGTGTGAATGCAAAATACAATTGCCTGATTCATAATTTGTTTTATTGTACAGGAGAAATGTGTTCGTACACAACTGCGCCTGGTAAAGTGAAAGAAACAGGACCAGGAAGTCAGTCTGTAATAAAGGTGGATGAACCACATACAGTTGGTAATACAATGTTGTATTTTTCAACT